AAGCCTAAAAAGGGAGGACAACATTGCCTGTAAATACATTTTATTTGTTTAGTATTTCCCAGGACAATTGCTTAATTGCTCTGTTTCCCAGATTTCAATTAACTCCTTACTGTCACCATTTATTATCATGAACAAATTTACTATCCCACTCTATCCCACAGATAATAGAGAGAGGTAGTTAGCCACATTAGTAGCACATTCTGGAGGACAAACAACAAACAAATAGTCTTTTTGGTAAACTGAATTAAAATGAACAAATCCAAAAAATATACAAAGTCTACCTGTATATAGTAATGCATAGTATGGTGCTTTATTAAGAGTTCTTAAGAGTTTTATTAAGTTTTTAATAAAAATTAAAAAAACAAGAGTACTATTAAACAACTGCCCCATAAGCAACACTTTTTATGCATACTTTTGGTGGGGGGGAATGTTGTAATCTTACAATCTGATGAATAATATTTCTAGATATATTAATGACACAAATATAAAAGAACAGCAACCATAACATCAGCATGGAAGTCTTTGATAATGTTTAGCTATTAAATTATTAGACAGAATATCAAAATAGGTAGAAAAATACTAAGAAAAAATGCTAATAGGTATATACCAAGCATTTCAATGTAGTTCTGGCCAGTACATTCTCACCTTGATAAACAAAACCTGTTATGGCTAAAACTGGAACACAATAAGACAACTTCACTTTCACATCCTAGTCTGATTTTGTAGGAATGGCAGATTGATAAATTATCTTTTAAACTAAAACTTCTGTAGAAGTAGTGGACGCACAACTTTCACGTTCCAGAGTTCCTTTTCAGAACAGAAGCTAACTTTTAACTGGTGTGCCACAGTTCCTCTCAGTAAAGTGTTCTGAGATCTCCAGATGAGTTCACCAAATATTAGTTATATTAAATGCTAGTATCATTAGCATAGCTGTCCCTAGGGGTGTGCAGGGCCTAGGTGGGGGGGAGGGGCAGGGGTGAGTGGCCAGACTGGCCGGCGTTTGGCAGTGGTGGTGCGTGGCAGCTGCAGTGGGGCCTGTAAGGCACTGTCTGTGGGGCCTCCCAAAGAATGGGGTTTGGGGCGGTTGCCCTGATTTGCCCCCCCAGGGATGGCCCTGATTATTACTCATTAAACCTTTTCAGTGAAACTATTCAGTTGAGAGGCCCTTGGCAAATTCATATCTACCATTCCACGTGCATTACATTTGACTGATACAATGAAATAGGATAAATTAGAGGAAAAACTTTCGAAAAATACAAGGGATTGCAACTTAAAACGTTACATAGGTATTCTCAAAGGGAAAATAAGTTTCTTAGAATATACTGGAGACAGTGCATGGAGTCTTAGTCGTACACACTTAGTTTCAAAGTTATGCCACTCTACTCACAGAGAGAAATCAATGTATGGTATATTTAAACAATCACTGCAGCTTTTTAAATAATCTGATAGTTTAGCTTTGAATGCGATCAAGCTAATGGAGGCTTTAATGGATTCTGACAGAGTGTTCCATTGATCAAGGAACATGTACGAAAATCACTGCCTACCAAACTTTGGTTTGATTTTAAGAAATGGAAAACTGAATGTTAATGGTAAACAGAAGTTGATTGTTCCCTTTTTCACTGAAATAAATATCTGATCTGTTCACAGAACCAATGAAATAAAGAATAATAGGAATCCTATACACCTGACTTTACTCTTTCAGTCTCTAATCAAGACAATTAATCAGAGCAACATGCCTTGGCATGGAGGCAAGTATTTGAAGACAAAGAAAAAGGGGCTAATTTTGTGACCAAACTCTGATTTGCACCACATACATGTACATTAGAACCACTGGGGCTTCACATGCTTGAAATCATTAAAGAATGAAGTCTTTTACGTCATATGAAATATATGTGATGCTTCCATGACAATAAAAGATAAAGCTTAGATGATCCAATTTGTATTTGGGAGGAATTAGGGTCATGTGTAAATTGTTCTTCTCCTTGCCTAAATGCTTTAATGGAACAAGCTAACAGCTAATTGGTACCTAATCTATAGCCTTAACAAATGCAGCTTCTCTACAAACTTATAAATTATTTTATTTAATAAAGGCATCAACATGTACTGTCTTAGCTTGAGAAACAGGATGGATATGCACCCCACAACCTGAGAAGTGGGTAATTCTTGGTTTATACCGGTAAGAACAAAGTGCAAGGTCCTCATTTCTCATTGTTTTAGAAGAGATGTGTGTGGCCAGGGCAGAGTTTGGGGAGGTATCACCTGACTTAGGCAATAAGCCATTAGCCCATGCACACTACTAATACGCTGTACTTCTCCTCTAACTCCTTCTTGGGGGCTGAGTTACAACTCCAACCTATCTCTAAGAGTTAAATTATATTAAGTTAAAACAGAACAAGCGTTTACTACTGGGTACCAACTGCTCTGTAATAACTGTTCATGTGCCTGTTACTTCCACAGAAAGCAAAAGCTAAACCATTGTACCCTACACCATTGTCATTGAGAATTAAACTATCCTGGAACTGTCCTGGGAGGTAAGAGTAGGTACATAGTTACAGATCAGCTGACAATCCCTAAATCCCTACACCCCCTTTGAATTTACAGTAACTTAATTAATTACAGTTTGCTTGACTGTCTGTCCCCTGGGATTAGTGTAGTACTGAGATTTTTGGTGGGGATTGTATTAGATTACTTTTTGGGATTGAAAACTAATCTTTGTGCCAGATTAGCTGGGGGCACAGTGGCAGTATTTCACCTTTAGGATAGCAGCTCACAGATGTGGGGTAATAGGTCTAGAAGTAAGATTCACGTCACAACCTAGAAGACGGAAGGTGTCCAATGCAGGTATTTATTTCATAGGGGTTCTGGTTGCCTGATAAACCAGAATTAGAAGCGGGATTGAGGGAAGGGATCCCCTACAGAAAAGTGGGAAATAGGATTGGGATCCAAGTGTCTATTGCAACAACTCTCATGGAAGACCCAGGAACAGACTGGGAAACCAGCTGTGGAGTCACAGGGAGCTGGGATTAGCTCTCTACCAGGTGGAAACAATTAAGAAAAGAGTCTACTGAACTATACTGAATTAAGTTAATAAAGCTGTGACCTAATTAAGCCACATCTCTTCCCCATTTTGTCTTTCTTCCCACACATCAGGCACAGTATCACTCAGATTCATTTCAGTTACACTAGCACAATTTACACTGCATTACATTGGATCAATGCATTGCACTGTTTTAACCAAGAAGATAATTCTGCCCATTGTTAGCACAGTAGCTTCATTCATTTGCATTGTGTGTCATGGATTTTTTATTCTTTTCATGCCTGTTTTGTTGTTATTCTGGCTCTTGAATCCCCAAACCTGTTCCACAACATTATAGAGGCCTTGCATGATTTGAAAGGATATCTTGTTAAGTAAATCCAGTTCATTACCAATGAAAATATCAACTATTTCATGATGATAATAACAAGAACTGATATGGATATTTCTTATGCTGCATGCTACACATCCTGGATGTTTTCCAGTTGGTAATTATTCATGGCATTCTTATTTACATTTTAGACATTCAGACTCTCTTGTAAAGCTCAGAGTGCAAGAATGATGCCTTTAAAATCTATTATATTGGTGTTAATATATTTTTATTTACTTAACCTCAGCAATAAGGAACAGAACCTACAGGATGGAATAGCTTCATATGCAGAGACACAAAAAATGCTTTATGAAAAAAATGTCTAATCTACCTGGCACAAAACCAGCAGTTTTCTATTGAACACTTTAAAAATGGCCTTTACCTTTCATCCCCTAAACTGGAGTCACAATAAAAGGTTTTCATTTTCTGCCAACATTTTCTTTCTATCAGTGTAAAACCAACTTTGTATCAGAGTGTGTTTTTTTTAAAGTCCCTGCCTTGAGCATTTCATTTGTATTGGGTCCATGTTTAGTCAGTAGCTTTTGTAAAATTGATGAATATTGTCTAAAGGCAAGTGCAGACAAGCAAACAGATCTGTATCTTCTGTAATCCATTTAGCCTGACACACACGTGCAAGGGAACTATTTTACCTCAATTCTTTCAGGGCTGATGAAAAGTAAATGTAAGCAAAGTCATGAACTTCACCATTTGAAAAAAAATCACAGAATCTACTGTTAGAAGCTAATTTATGCTTTCCCCCTGAAACAGACTGACCTCGGTCCTCAGGCATCTAGAGTCAATAAACAGTTGCCATACATAGAACATTCATTAGAGGCCTGGGTTAAGAATGTTTTTGTAGCACATCCAAAATGGTAATGGGCTACCTAATGGTACAATATTAATGGATTGCAAAAGGATCATTTCAGGATGACCTTGGTCAAAATTATTTAAATGACATAAGGAAAGCTTGTAAATCATGTTCTTGTTATTGTCTCTTTCTAACAATTAATTGGAAAGGGCAGTAATTATACTAAGCACTCATTCTTTTATGAATGAGTTCTGTTTTGTTCTTTTCTGCTGACACCTTCAGAACTATTATGCATTTTCGACAATTCCAGTCTACACTGCCAAACTTTTGCTGTTGTCCCTGATGAGGCCAGGGAAAGGGAGGGCTGAATTCTGCTCTTATGCTGCTGTATTCCCACAGAGTTCAGTGATATTATTTGGATTTACAGTGGCACAACTGAGCTCCAAATCCAACACAAAACATTTAAATCCTCTTTGAGCCATATCTGGGTGTCTGAGCATCAATATCTTGTCTGGGAAATCTTAAGTTTTGTCCATTCCAAGGATTTCCTAGATTTCCACTGGTTTGAACCTGTACTATTGTATATTGTGGTTTATGGTAATTTGATCTGTCTGCACTAGAAGATTGTACCAGTGCAGATATTCCATTGGCTTCATTCCCAGCATGAATAAGGCCTTAGATTCATGGATTTTTAGACATTCTATTATGGTTACCATCAGTCTCCTAATCAAAGAACAAAAAAATTAGTGACTTTTGAATACTACAGTAAATAATTATTTGCCAATCATTTTTAATAGCTATGCTTCCATTTTACCCAGTTTTCAACATTTATGTGCATTCTGTACCCTTTATGCCTGTCAAAATCATTTCACCATTGTGATTCCCAGGGTTTCTAGCTATGCTTAATTAAACCAAAAATAATCATAAAGAAACAGCAGAAACCCCCTTAAACCTTGCC